TATTTTCTCTTAGGAGCCATCATCACTGTATGTGTGTGTCTGTTTTGTTTATGTAGTACTTGCAATAAAGTTAAATAAGATGGTACACCTTTTTTTGCAGTGAATATTTTAGTCAGAACAGGAAGTGAAAATGTCAAGTGCCCCTCAGGTCCCTCCCACGGTGTCCTCACCACCAGCTGGCCTGTGCTAATGCACTGCTGAACACACACACACACACACACGCCTTTCCCTCACATCCCCTCAGCCAACAGTGAAAAGCTCAAAATAAAAAGCTAAAATAAACCCGGCTGCTCTCAGAGCGTCTCCTCATCCTCTTGTCATCTGCATGCACTGAAGAAGCACGACCCCTCCTGACCTCACCACACCAGTGATGCTTTCAGATCAGAGCCCGTGTGTGTGTGTGTGTGTGTGTGTGTGTGTGTGTGCAGCTGCTGGCCTGTCTGACAGTCACTGACCTTTAGATTGCGTGACTGTCCGCTGGACCCAGTGACTGGACATGAGAGACACGCTCTTCAGCATTTAACATCAGCACATTCTTATCTCTAAAATATGTGTGTGTGGGACAAAGTGTAGAATATGGATGGTGGATAAGAGAGAAAGAGCATTGATTCTCTGTTCTTAAGTCACAGTCACTGTTCCACCAAACCACAATTTAATAGGACACTATAAAATGTCACATAGATTTATATGATCAATGAATCTAATATAAATATCAGCATAGTAATCTAAAGTCGCAAATCCTACATTACTAAAAGGACATGCATATCATATTAATTACTCTAGCAGGATCAATAGACAGTGAACACAAATGGGCTTCAATGTCACTATGACCTTGAGCACTATGTGTGATTATATGCACTTTGAAAGTTAATGATTTCAGTTGAAATAATACAATAATTTATCTTTTAAAATATCATGTAAATGAATCCTTTTGCAATTTTCAAATGTAGCCTTTCAAATCTTGTACAACCATTTAAAAGACTAACTGAGACTTATAGCACGTGCATATCTTTTTCTCTTGTTGATTTTGATTGCTTCTATTGTTCTCATTTGTAAGTCGCTTTGGATAAAAGCGTATGCTAAATGACTAAATGTAAATGTAAAACAGAACAAACAACAATAACAGAACCACGGGAGCTGGACTGATGTCTCTCAGCTGGGACTGTTTTATTTCTCTTTTATTTTGTCTGTCTGGGTTTCTCTGAACTCTTGGACAGCGCTGCTCTAGTTTTTGTTGGCAAACATTCAGTAGGGAATTTCTATGCAATAAAGACAGATGGTACCTCAATATTCCTCTCGCTCGCTTTCTCTCTTTTAATAAATCTCTCTAATTAGATGAAATCAGCTTATTTGCATCAGTCAAGGTCAAGATTTTATTAGTGGCATTTTCTAAAGAAAAGCTTTATTAATGCTATTAATTATTGTAAACCTTTAGCTCGAAGTATTAAACTTGTAACCCATCACACACCATTTTAGCTACAGACATGAATGATATCTCAAATAATGCGGCTGGCTGAGATTGGTTTTATGAGTTTTTTCTAAAAATATGATTATGAAATAAAGAATTATGAAATCATTTGTGGGTTGGCTGCAGCCATTACTAAAAGCAACATGAAATCAAACATAGAATACCATTCAAAGTTTTTTAATGCTTCTAAAATAAGTTTCATAGGTTCACCGAGACTGCATTTATAGTATAAAAATCCAGTAAAAAACAGTAATGTAGTGAAATATTACAATTTAAAATAACTGTTTTCTTTTTATTATATTTTAAAATGTAATTTATTCCTGTGATGCAAAGCTGAATTTTCAGTATCATTACTCCAGTCTTCAGTGTCACATGATCCTTCAGAAATCAGTATAATATGCTGATTTGCTGCTCAAGAAACATTTCTAATTATAATTTATGTTGTGCTGCTTAATATTTTATCTGATTCTTAGATGAATAGAAAGAACAGTATTTATTTGAAATATATTTTTTGTAACATTATAAATGTCACTTTTAATTAATGCTCCCTTGCTAAATAAAACTAATAAATTCCCTTCAAAAATAAACTTTAATGCACTGTATTTATAAGAGAAATATAAAAGCTCACATGTTCTGTATGCCGCTAATGTACTGTAAAAGACAGAGACTGTTTAAGTGACAAAATGAGCAAGATCAAACACGCTGTAACAGACTGCAAATCAAGCGATCTCTATAATACTGTAATCCTGAGAGATTGTGCAGGTATAAAGCCTTTCACCTCCTGCTTTAAACAACAGCATGCCTGTACAGGATTACCAGGTAGGATCAATACCAGGCTTTTCATCACTGTTCGGAACGGCGGCTAATAGATAGTAAATTTCACCCTCTCCTGGCTATTTATCCCACACAGACATTAACAACGCTATCACTGGGAGATATAAGACTGAGATATGTTACTGCTGGACTGCTCCTCACATCTATCTTCCTCCATGCGCATTCATCTGGAAGATCAGACAAAGTGCTGAAAACACAGGCTGTTCAATACAGGCTTGTACCTCAGAGACGGACCTAATGACTGGAACTTCAGAGGCATTTCTGGGAAACCATGGTGTGCCCATTCAGCTGAGAGTGTCTTCACTACTGGGACTGATTAATTGATGCTATTTTGAGACCCCAAATGATACTTTATATGATTTATCATACAGTAAATCTCATCACAGTCTCATCACAAATTACACATTTATGCATTTATTCTTGATTGATGCTTATGGTCTGTGAAATAGACCTTTACATATTTTCATAAGAAAAATTAAGTGGTACCTGCTATTGCTCACATAGCAGTGGTATGCAAATTTATATAGGTTGCATTTTAAATACTCATTATTATATATGAGCAATATCACATGTGTAGCAGCGCAATACCACTAGGTTTTACCCATTTGTCAACCAGAAGCTTTTAATCGTTTTTAAATAAAATACATTTATTTAAAACATTAAAGTAGATACTTTACCTGTATTTAACATGTATATAAAATCACTTTTGCAAATGTAATTTGATGCAGACACCAAAATGGGACATCTATACACTTCTTTGACCCATATATATGTACGAGTTTGGAGATATACCGGTAGACACGATTAACCAGTAGAAATTTGTCAACAGGAAGAGCGTTTTTAAGCATCGCGGTTTAAAAACAAGTGATTTTAAGCCACTGAAACACAATCAGCAGTGAAAGAGAACTAATTTCCCTAAATGCGCACGCTGTCTGAGAGGCGGTTTCTAAATGCTGTCAGAGAGGCACATGCACGTGAAGATGGTGTTCAGACTATTAAAGTTATTTTATTTTTGGATATGTAATTATTATATATTATTATTATTGGAGTTATTGAAGAGCGTTTTTAAGCATCGCGGTTTAAAAACAAGTGATTTTAAGCCACTGAAACACAATCAGCAGTGAAAGAGAACTAATTTCCCTAAATGCGCACGCTGTCTGAGAGGCGGTTTCTAAATGCTGTCAGAGAGGCACATGCACGTGAAGATGGTGTTCAGAGCGCGGGACTATTAAAGTTATTTTATTTTTGGATATGCAATTATTATATATTATTATTATTGGAGTTATTTTGCTGCTTTATAAGCTTTGAACGGTTAAATAACTGTATGTGTCAAAATGCCCGTCTTTGCAAATGAAACGCACACATCTGTGACAATACAGTATACTGGATCTGGGCAGCTCTTAAAGTGACAGCAGTCTAACGTGTAACAGTATATTGAATCCGGGCAGGTCTTAAAGTGACAGCAGTCTAATCTTCCTGCTGTCTGTCATTCATGTTAATCAAACAACAAAAGAGAAAATCTCTTACTGCTCTTGACTAAATCAATTTTGTAACTTTAATAAGAAGAAATGTTTAATTTACACAGTGAAGAATATGCAGTGTTTTTATACATTTGATTACTTTATACAACGTATGTAGCATTTCTTATTTTTTTGTTCAACTGTAGCTATTGTTTGTAATTAGTTTTTTATTTGTATTTAATTGCTGACTGTTTACTTGTCTTCAGTGAGATTGAGTTTTTTACATTTGTTTATTTTTATTTAGACTATTAAGTTTTTTTGTGATTTTAATACTGGTGACAAGAATTATGAAATTTCTATAGTATCAAAAATTTTGATATCACAAAGACTTTATTTAAAGCAAAAATTACTATATTGTGATGTATATCATTACCGTGAAATAAAATGACTCATATTGTGGTATCAAATTTTGGTCATATCACCCACCTCTCTATATGTGATATAATTATGATTATTTTGGTCAATAATGGCATTAACATGATCACTCAACTTTGAAAAATCATGCATTTACTGAATTTTTTAACAGTGAATTTCACTGAACTTTATAATTCAACTGAAAAACTAAATATAAATTAAACAATTGTAAAATAAGTATATTTGTATACATATATCCTATATGGTACATGTATAACATTATGGGTAATTAATATTGAAAGAATGAAATGTATTGTTAAAACAGTCGTTCAATAAAGTTAAATATAACTGTATACCTAACAATGTAGCAGCAGTGGTTTTGTGAGAGGCACTGATCGCACTTTGAAATTCACTGGTGAAACGCTCAGATTCTCACAGTGTCAAGCTCCTCTTTCAGATTTCCCTCTGACACAAATGAGCTTTGGATTGCCCCTAAAAGCCTTCTTTAGTGTGCCAGTGAAATAAAAAATGAAAGGAGTAAGAGAATCAAAAACTGGAAAAAATACCCAAGAGACGAAAGAAGACTTAAATTACACATTAAGACTCAAGACATCAAGAGAATTGTTCTCTTTAGTGATTTTTTTTTCTTTTTTTGTGGAGTGGGAGGCAGATATAAATAAAGGAGATAAATGAGCCTAGAGATGAAAAAAAGTCCAATTCTACAAAAACTACAAATTTGTAGTTAAACCAGAATTTTTTTTTTAAAATCTTTCCTGATTTGACTGAAACTAGAATCTTAAAAACATGATTATCATCTGCCCTTCTGCTCACAAGCGGCAGGTGTGTCAACACAGATTAGCATATCCAACTGTCACAACAGCGTGTGTAAATGAGTATTTGTAAATAATGTCTTCTGATTGGAGGCGGAAGTCAAACGCAGAGTGATTTATGCACAAACGGTCTAAACTGACGAGCCGTGACATCTAGCAGAGCACAGCATTAAGAAACTCAAGGGAGGCATGGAGAGCGCCTGACAGGTGAAGGGGCGTGGATTAAAGCCAGGCTTCAGTTTCAATCAGAGCTGGACAGACGGTAAAGCTTCACGATCAGGCCAGTTATAGCAGCAGACTGCTCTCTGATCAGCCACAACACTATTAATTATTAAAAGCTCGGAGGGAAAGGCCAGAGACACAGACTGATCTCCATCCATCCCAGTATAAGATACATTCAGATCCTTTAACCTTCAAGAGAAACAGAGAGAGAAAAGCTCACATATTAATTGATAAATTACCACAGTCAAACTCTTTATGTGGTTTTGCATAAACAGGGAAATGTGCTTGTTCATACACACATCAAACAACCCATTAGAAAAACTACAAAGCAAACATCAAAGCGGGACAGAGATGGTGGTTTTAGCAGTAATGTGAGCTTTCATCAGCCCCATTCATATTAGGGGTAGATAAGGTACAAAGATGTCCTTGTACTGTCCCAGTGACAAGCTGTTGTACCCCAAAATTTGTTTGTTTTATTGTTTGGTTTGTTTTTGGTGTTGTGTGTTTTCTTTTGGTTTTCTGTCATGTTTTGGTCTGGTAAAGCTCTGGAAGACCGATTCCAACACTAAATTATTAGTGATTGCAACTTTCTATGTCACAATTCTGACTTTTTTTGTCGCAATTGCAAGTTTACATCTAGCAATTCTTTCTTTTTATCTCAGAATTGTGTGATATAAACTCGCAGTTCTGATTTTTTCCCAGAATTGCAAGTTATAAATTTACAATTAAGAGAAAAAAGTCAGAATTGCGAGATGTAAACTCGCAATTCTGAGAAAAAAAGTAAAAACTGCAAGATTTAAACTTGCAATTCAGAAAAATGAAGTCAAGATTGCGACATATACCTCACAATTCTAAGAAAATAGTTTCCCCCCCTCCGAATTGCACTTTATAACTCTCAGTTGTGAATTTGTATCACACAATTCTGAGAAAAGAAGTCAGAATTGCAAGAAAAAAAGTCAGAATTGTAAGATATAAACTTGCAATTCTGACTATGACTCGCAATTGCAAGTTTATTTCTCGCAATTCTGAGCAAAAAAGTCAGAATTACGAAATTTTTTCTCGCAATTGCGAGTTTACAAGTCAGAATTGTGAGATAAAAAGTCACGATTACCTTGTTTTATTTTTTATTCAGTGGTGGAAACGGGTTTCCATTTCAAGCTGCTTACTTTAAAGCAATTTATTTAATATTTATATTTATAAAGTGCTATATAAACAAGCATGACTTGATAAGCGTGCCGAATTGCAGAGCTAGTGCAAATATTTGCAGATTACTATGATCAGAAGCTTTGTTAATGGCTGTTTTCTCACCACTGTCATGTTAGTTGTGTATTTATTTGCTAAATGAAAGTGTGCAGCACATTTACATGCTGCAGCATGAGTGGTGTTGGGATGTTCACTGGGGAACAGTATACCGCTGCAAATGGTGTTTACATTTACCCCTAAGTGTAGAACAATAAAGAACTTAACTGTGAGCATATCAGGCCCTTTAAAGGGGTCATATGATGTTGCTAAAAAGAACATTATAGTGGGGACATAATTACGGATTATAATGACTTATACTGTCTTTTTACACGTTGCGTTGCATCGTGCCACGTAAACATAAAACCATGTCTGCATTTGAGCCTTGAGTGAGCAGAGGCCTGCAGGTAGAGTGAGGAACGGACGGCGGATTCGACGAAGGAGTGGCCGGTGGGCTTGCGGCAACCACGTGACGACCCCGGGCTGGACTCCGCTTCGTCCACGGTGAAAGCCGATCCGGCGATCCACAGCGCAAAGTTGATGTATTCCCTCAGCGAGCAGCACGGATCAGCTCCAGGCATGATGAAGCGGATATCGTCCTGTTTTGGAAGGCCAAACAAAGTAGTTTCGCTTTCACAACGAAACACACAGCACCTTCACGACATGGCGGCGGCAACAATACTACAGCGAGAATAAAAGTTACGCCTTCTTTTTTTGCGTGAACATTTGGGCGGCGTTATGCAAATCTTCCCACATCGTGACGTAGATATGTGGGGGCGTGTTAGAACGAGCCGTTTTAGGTAGGCGTGGTTGACTCTTAACTTTTATAAAGAATATCTCTTTGGATTTGAGACTTTAGTCTTTGCAACTTTACAGATCTTCTTTATGCACCAAGAGCTTGTAATACTCCAAAGAGAAAGGAAGAATTTAAATCACATCATATGACCCCTTTAAGCTACATTTTTTTGCACATCTTTTTCTGACAGTGCAGAAAATAAAAGAAAAGTCTGCAGCTTTCATCTGGGTCTGCTGACGGGCAATGCCATCCTAAATTTACAGGGCGATGTCTGGGTCTTTATTTGCTGTCTTTCATATAACATTGTGTCCTGCCCTGTGTGTGCTGAGCACTGACCTCAACAGCCTCACCCCTGCCATAGACAACAGAGATGCTGTGCTCAGTTATGTAACAGAGCGTGTGGCAAAATCACAGCTATTCATCAGCAGAAAGCATCAGTGTGTCCTTGATGCCCCTCAAAAATCACACACAGCTACGCTCAGACGAAAACAAAACAAACGTGCTGCTGTGTTTTCATGTTCACTTGGGGAGGAGTTCAAATTGTGATTCTCTGCAAACAATACAAAGCTACTAGTGGTTGGAAGGCACCCAAGAACTTACTTTCATGATGAACTGTTTCACATTTATAGCTGCTCCAGGTCTAAGGGACAGTTTGTGTGAATCCTACATTCCTATAGAGATGGATGATCATGCTGTCAGCAATGGACACTGCGTTTACAATCTAGGCCAGATGCAAGGGAGGATTCCTTAAATGGAAGTATATAGAGGTAAACTTCTCCTCTACTATTGTGTAAAGAGAAAAAAAAGAGTACCTCAGTGTCAGGCAGGGCTTGTGAGATTAATTAATCCACTGACTGTCTTTGCATCTGGCCAATATCACCCAACAGAATCCAGAGGTGTTTACAGAGGCATCATACCTGCTGCGACACAACAGGATAGAAGCCTAATGAAAAATGACAATGCATCTGAAGACAGTTCATTTGATTTGGAATGTGCTGGAGTCCATCATCATGGTCACTGTATTAATATCTACACATAAATGTATGTTTATGGGTGTTTGATCAAGGAAGGTTCACAACAGGTGATTAATGAATGACACTGTTGGTCACATGCGGGTAGTTAACTTTGATGCCCCTAAAAAGCAGCAGGAATAATTATTGACTTTCAATAGTGGTAAATTATCAATAGACACTATATAAAACACAGCCTTTGGTTGTGAAACTAATTTAATATGCATCCAATTTTTCAGTCAGTCAAAGCCTTTTGCCACTTGTTTAATGGAAAAACCACCTCAAAACAATTACTGACCAAATAAAAATAAAGTGATGGGTTTTAGTGTATTCTATTTCGAAATAGTCATCAAAGTTCATCAGACTGCTGGTTTATTCTTATATAATTAAAACATACCAAACATACACAGTAATGTATAACTGACAGTACAACAGTTATTGATGAGACAACAGAAACACTTTAATATAAATTTAGCTCATTCAGTATTATTTTAGTACTATGTATATACTATTATAGTATTTATTAATATTTTGAATCTTTTTATGTTTTCAGTCTTTTTTTAAGCTTTTTTTGTAATTTTGTTATGTGCTTTTGTCATTTTTATAGTTATAACATCGTTTAGCTTTATTTTTTAGTAACTGTAGTATTTTAACCCCGTTGTTTTATTCCAAACATTTAATTTTTTTTTTTACATTTTAAGCTTTTTCATAATATTTATATTTTATTTTGCCTTTATTTCAGTTAACAAAAATGCTTTTTTAAAATAGTTTTATTGATAACACTGAACTTAATTAATGAATCAATTCATATGTTATAAGTTATACATTCAGTGTTGGTGCTTTTGTGTCAGTTATAATAATTTATTTATTTTAATAAACCAACAGCATGAATTCCTTCACAGATCTCCAGTGATTCACAGATCCAAGTTTAAGAATCTTGATGAAAAGGTACAAAATAGAGAGAGGACATGAAATCATCAGAAGAAGGATTCAGGAAATTTTGCAAGCCAGATGCAAACTTGGATTACCCCTAAAAGCCTTCTTTTACACAAGCTCTTCTGCTCAATGTGTCAGTGCATGTGCACTAACTGAGGGTTGTTTTTTACACCACTATATTATTTCTTGTATAGCTACATTTTAATGATTCCTTCCTTGTGTCGTACACTTGAGTTTAATATAGCTCTGGGCTGATGCTGGATGTGTTTATACTAGGACTTTCCCATAGTTCTCCGCAAAAAGCCTTCCAGTATAACTGAAAGCTAAAACCTATAGCATCCTGAATGCTTCACATTCAAGAGTCAGAGCTGTATGAGAAAGCAGAAAGGAGAGAGATGGTGGGTGAGGGTAAAAAATTCAGCTATATTTTTGCTGACCTTGCACTGTATCACTCCAGGGAAGCACGCTAAACTAAAGGACACACAAAAAAAAACAGAGAGAGGGAGGAGAAGACAGCCGGACAGGACTGTATAAGGCTCATGAAACGCATTGTGTCTATAATTAACCCTTCAAGAACCCTTAAAGAATCCAGCTCCACCAGCAGGACAGTGAGACAATTATACATCTCATGACAACTCGCTTTAGACTACAAGACTGCCATGATATCCCCAATATGAAACTTCAAGCAAACATCTCAACAAAACAAATGGCAATTCAAAATGACAGACTGGGATCCGCCTCCTCTTCTCAAACAAGCAGCATCTGAATAGCACACAGTCATGGTGACAAGTGACTTGAATAGGAAATAGCATGTTCTAGCCATCTGGATGAGATTGTTTGCACAGCCATATGGCTCAGCTGACGGCTGCAGACTGTTGTGATAGAGCACTTGAAGCCCATATTCAGATCAAATCCATAACGCAACTTCACAAACGCAGTGTAGGTTGTTGTAAAATGGTTGAAGTGTTGATCTAACAGGCTTCGGTTCTGTCATGTCATAAATCTCTGTCAGACTGGTGGTGGAGTACAGGTAGACATTAGTGATGTTCAGTGAAGCTGTAAGATGACACTCATCTCTGAGTTTTGCCTGTGGCTATTACGTGGCTCATTCGCAGAGCTGACATGTTTTACCAAACACTCTCGCAGCACTGAGTTGACAGAGGATGAAATTGCATCAGCGTTTATTAAGCTTTATGATTTTCCCCAGGCAATAACCTAAAGACTAAATGTCACTCCAGTATAAATGGCACAGAGGCAGATCATGGAAGGGGCGGCTTGTGATTGGTTTGTATGTATAAGACGGAAGCTTGTGTTTTGTTTGTGTTAAGCATACAAATACAGTGATATCAGATGGTAATACCTTAAAATATAGCCATGTTATGTTTCTCCAAAAGCCACTTATGTTTCTCCAAAATACTTGTCCAAAGTACATGTCCAAAAAATATGGTATTACCATGGTACCATGTCAAAAAAAAAAAAAAAAAAACTAGTAGTGTACAAGAACCATCAAATCCAAATTACTGTGATATATTACACTTGTGTACCATAACATGGCATTTTACATGGTACTCCAAGGCTGTTCAATGAATACCATGTTGCTATGTCCAGAAAACGTGGTATTAACATGTTCTCATATAAAAAAAATCGTTTTTAAACAACAAATTTACTTTGCACATCAAGATGCCTTAAAGAATGCCATATTAATACGTTAAAAAATACATGGGATTACCAAGGTGCTACATTGGACTTTTGGTACTTGAAAAAGGGTGGGCGATATACTGGTAGACACAATTAACTGGTAGAAATTTGTCAACCGCTAGAGATTTTGGATTTTTGGAGATCATCTCTATCGCGGTTACATGCTCACGTGACGTTGCTGTGCTACGTGGTCACGAAAACGTATCATTTGCATGTTTTTAAGCATCGTGGTTTAAAAACAAGTGATTTTAATTTTTCAATTAGCAGCGAAAGTGAACTCATTTCGCTATATGTGCACGCTGTCTGAGAGACTGTAAGTTATTTTTGCCACTTTATAGGCCTTGAACGGTTAAATACACATGCTTGTATGAGTCAAAATACCGTCTTTTTAAGTATCGTCGTAAACACAGCAATTTAGGTCTTAAGTGAAACAGCTGAGTGTTAATCACACAACAAAAGAGAGAAAATCTCTCACTGCTCTTGACTAAATCACTTTTGTAACTTTAATAAGAAGAAATATACATTTAATTTACTCTGTGAAGAATATGCAGTGTTTTTATACATTTGATTACTTTATACAATGCATAGCATTTTTTATTTATCTGTTCTACTGTAGTTTTTTTGTCCTATTGCAATTAGTTTATTATTCTTATTTAATCGCTGACTGTTTACTTGTCTTCAGTGAGCTTGAGTTTTTTAGTTTTTTTTAAATTTAGGCTGATATTTTTTGTAATATTGACACTGGTGACAAGAATTATGAAATTTATACGGTATCAATTTTTGATATCATAAAGACCTTAATAAACAAATCTACAATAGTGAGCTGAGCCATTTCACATTCTTTGCCATTTCCACAAGGGTGTTGCACAAAGGATTGGATTAGTGACAATAACTTGTAGTGTAAAAGTGGTCACACTTTAGACTGGGGGTCAATTCTCACTATTAACTACCAACTACGACTTTTGCCTCAAACTTCTTATTTGCTGCTTATTAAATAGTTAGTAAGGTAGGCTTGTTGTTATAATGTTGTTACATTATAAAATAAATCAAACTCAAACTATTAAACACTTAATCAGGTACCAAAAAATATACATTTTAGCTTTTCATAATACTGTCTCGCACAAAACCCTTCCTTCGCTCTTATTCTTCTTCTAGCCAAATTCACATGATATCATAAAAGAATCTCTCTTAATATAAAGAAAAAAAAGATAAAATTCATAATGTCGTTCATGGCTCTAACAAAATCCATAAATTACAATTGTTATGGTATTTTTGCTGTGCCATGTCAAAAAAATAAAATAAATAAATAATATAAACAGAGAATTATTAGTATATACACCACAGAACAGCAGTCAGTCTGCAGGCGAAACACTCTCTGATGGTCTCCCATGACTCTGTATGGGTCTTTCTCTATGTTTTTCCGCCGGTGTTGTGCTACACCGTCTTGCTCTTTTTCTGTACTGCTGGGCTCAGCAGGGATGGAGGAACTCTCGGTTACCACGGCAACAGCCTGGCATTCTCTAGACAGGCAGGGCAGGAGATCTGATGCATTCGTGAGTGTGTGTGTGTGTGTGTGTGTGTGTGTATGTGTGTGTGTAAGGCAGACAGTGAGTGAGAGAGAGATAGCAAGACAAAGATTTACAAAAATCTGGCAAAACAGAGTTCACATCACCTCCAGAATAACAACACATCAAGAGAACAGCACAAACGCCATACGCTCTAGCTGAGAGTCTGTGAGTGAGCAGAACAACAGAGCTGCGTCCATGTAAGGACACGCTGCCACGAGGTGAGCTCCTCTAACTGTAATCCATCACCAGCCCTGCCGTTTGTTTGACTGAGATAAATGCTGAGGTTTCTAAGAGACTCATATGTGATATCAAGGATTACCCATAACACAATATCTGCGCACACAGGCGCCGATGGCACCGCTGCTGGGAATATCTGGTGCGAATGTGTTTAATGCAGACGCTGGGGGGGCCAGCAGATGAAAGATTGATCTGACCTGTGCAAAATGCTCTCGCTTCACACAGGAGGAGAGAAAGAGAGAGGAAATGGAGCATCTGTCATCAAGCACTTCTTCACAGTGTCAGCCCATAATTTTAAACACTGTTATTTCATCCAATTGGCACACTTTAAGCTCCATTTCACTCCCTTTTTTACCCTGAACCAAACACAAAAGAAAATTCATTTGAAATAAACTTAACTTCAGAGTTGCAGCAG